ACCACTGTGCCTGGCCACGTGCAGAATTTTAAAGCAGTGATCATTATCAATATCATTGCTTCAAAATCTCAACATTAGCTAAAGTAGTTCATGTAGAGTTTTTTTAAAAGTTTTTATTTTTAATTATTATGGGTACATAATAATTGTATATCTTGATAGGGTACATATGATGTTTTGATACAGGCATACAATGTGAATTAATCAAATCTGGGTAATTGGGCTATCTATCACCTCAGGCATTTATCATTTCTTTGTGTTAGGAACATTCCAATTCCACTCTTGTAGTTATTTTAAAGTATAACCTAATTTATTGTTGATTATAGTCACTTGGTTGTGCTATCAAATATTGTTCATTCTATCTAACTATCTAACTATATTTTTGCACTCATTAACCATCCCCATTTTGTCTCCCCCTCCCTGCTTCCCATTCCAAACTCTGCTAACTGTCATTCTACTCTTTGTCTCCATGAGATCAGTTGTTTTTAATATTTAGCTCCCACATATGAGTGAGAATATAAGATTTGTCCTTCTGTGCTTGGCTTATCTCACGTAACATAATGTTCTCCAGTTCCATCCATGTCGTTGCAAATGGCAGGATTTCATTTTTTGTGGCTATATAATATTCCATTGTGTATATGTACTATAATTTCTTTATCCTTTCATCTGTTGATGGACATTTAGGTTGATTCCAAATCTTGGCTATTGTGAATAGTGCTGTAATAAACGTGGGAGTGCAGAATTCTTTTCAATATACTGAATTCCCCTCCTTTGGATATATATTACACCCAAAAATGGGACTGCTCGGTCATATGTTCGTTTTATTTTTGTGGTAGTTTTATTTTTAGTTGTTTGAGGAACCTCCATACTGTTCTCCATAGTAGTTGCACTAATTTATATTCCTGCCAATAGTGTGTGAGGGTTCCCCTTTCTCCACATCCTTGCCAGCATTTGTTATTGCTTGTCTTTTTGATGAAAGCCATTTTAACTGGGGTGATATGATATCTTATTATAGTTTTGATTTGCATTTCTCTGATGAATAATGATGTTGAGCATTTATTCATATACCTGTTGGCCATTTATATGTCTTCTTTTAGATTCTTTGCCCATTTTTATATTAGATTATTTGATTTTTTTCCCTATTGAATTGTTAGAGCTCCTTATATATTCTAGTTATTAATCCATTGTCAGATGGGTAGTTTGCACATATTTTCTCCCATTCTTTGGGTTGTTTCTTCACTCTGTTGATTGTTTCCTTTGCTGTGCAGAAGCATTTTAGCTTGATGTAATCCCATTTGTCCAATTTTGCTTTGGTTGTCTGTGCTTTGGGAGTATTGTTCAAGAAGTCCTTGCCCAGACCAAGGTTCTGAAGCATTTCCCCAATGTTTTCTGTTAGTAGTTTCAAAGTTTCAGGTCTTATATTTAAGGCTGTAATCCATTTTTATTTGATTTTTTGTATATGGCAAGAGATAAGGGTCTGGTTTCATTCTTCTGCATATGGATATCCAGTTTTCCCAGCACCATTTATTGAAGAGACTGTTCTTTCCCCACTGTTTATTCTTGGAAACTTTGTTGAAGATAAGTGCACTATAGATGTGTGGATTTATTTCTGGGTTCTCTATTCTGTCCCATTGGTCTATGTGTCTGTTTTTATGCCAGTGTTATGCTGTTTTGGTTACTACAGCTCTGTAATATAATTTGAAGTCATGTAATGTGATTCCTCCAGTTTTGTTCTTTTGGTCTGAAGGGCTTTGACTATTTTGGATCTTCTGTGGTTTCATATGAATTTTAGGATTACTTTTTCTCTTTCTCTGAAGGATGTCTTTAGTATCTTGATGGGGATTACACTGAACCTGCAGATTGCTTTGGGCAATATGTCATGTAGGTATTTTTTTGTTTTGTCCTCAGACCACACATGCAGCAGGGAATTTGGAGTGATGGTTTTCAGCTCCAGGGACCAGTGACCAGGATTTGCCTGAGTATTTCGAGGGTCTAACTATGGCTGCAGTCAACCTTCTCCATTTGTCTTGATCCAGCATCTACCTGTGCAAACTCTTGTTTTTCTAATTTTACTCCCTTCTCTCTCCCCTTGTCTGTGTGGTCCCTTTTCAGTGAGGACTCCTCACAGGGGAGCAGGTGGTCAGTGGCTCTCAGTGTTGTGTCCCATCCTCTTTCTTCTTTTTCTCTGTTAATCATTTGTCTCCCTGTCTTTATTTCTGCCCTCTTCCATAATAAATGCAGCATTCCTTTAAAAGGCCACATAATGTTCCCACTCTTCTGTGTGGACATCCAATCTCTGTGAAACCTGGACAATTAAACCTGTTTAAAACATTAAGAAATTTAAAAATCTACAAGCTTTGGAAGGGAAGAAGAAGTTGAGAAACATTGTTTCTACTTAAGAGGATGTAAAATTCCTGGTAACCAGACTATCCGGTTTCCTCCAGAAATGTTGACAAATGAATAACTAATTTTTAACAAGGGAATTGTTAGGATTCTAGGAGCTAATTAAAGGATCATTTATCAGAGTGACCTGCACAGCAGGTGTCTTTGAGGACTCCCTCCCCACCCCCTTTCCTGCCAGAAGGTAACCCTGAATGGAGAAACAATGGGCTGGGTGGGGAAAGAACTCCCATTTTTTGTTATCTCAGATATGTAAAAAATCCAATGCCCTGAAAATAAAGAAACAGCAAAACTATCCAAATAAAGTGAGAGTGAATTAGAATAATAAAATATTGGTAATTTTAGAGCTGCCAGGACCCCAAAGCATTTCATCCAATCTGTTTTACAGATAAGGAAATGGAAGTAGGGAGAGGTTATAAAACCCATCCAAGTCACACAGGGAGTTAGAGACCTGTATTGGTGTCCACAGGTTTGTTTGCTTCTGGGTTAACAGTCTTTAGGAGGCTTTGTAAAACTATCTGACCTCCAGCATATGGACTGGGTGTCATTAAACACTGCCACCTTCTTCCTTGTTGTCTAACTCCACCTGTTTCTCAGCATTCCTGCCATCCCTAGGCTGAGAAAAATCAAGTATCTTTCTGCAGAACATGCTTAGGCATTCTCCCAAGATATGGTTTCAAAAAACTAAGCAAAGGTGAATTCTGGTTCTAGCACTCTATGTTAATGAGAATAGTTAATAGTTACCACTTATTTAAATGGGCTTCTTGTGTGGCACTGTGTTAAATCCTTTACCAACATACAATCAAAATATTTTTAAGTGGACCCTTACAATATGATGAGTTTTTAATTTCCTAGTTTTGCAGATAAGGAAACTGAGGCTTAGTGTTAAGTAACTTTCCTAAGACTGAGAAACTAGTATTAATAATAATAGCAGAATAGGCCAAGATCCTGACTCATCTTAATCAAAACCTCTTTGTTCCCATACCACCCCCACCCTCATTGACCTTGATGAAACCTTATTTCCTAGCTTTGCTTTTCTTAGGTGTCACATATTCAGCTGCTTAGTGGATCTCTAAGGCATCATACAGGTTTTACATTCTGTATAAAAGAAAAATTAGACAATTGTGACTTACAGTCTAGGTTTTCTTTATTTTATTTTTTACAACTATTACTAATTATTTTTATAGCCCTGGCAATGTTTATTTATAATTATGCTACAGTATGCATATAGGATCTTGAATTGTACATTTTTTTTAGACATTTGAGTGCCAAATCAGGAAACACTAGAGGAGGGCAAATGAGCAAATACTATCTGTCATTTTCAGTTAGCAGGTGCTACAGGCATATAAGATATGGCCCTTTTCTGATCAAACCATATGGCGTTTTTGAACAAAATGGTCAGTAGAAAAATGAGTTAAGAGATTCAGCTCCAATCTAAATTTATTCTAGTACCTGGTGCAGAGCAAAGACCAATAAAATCTTATTTATTCAATGAATGGAAAAAAAGATAAAAGTAATGGAGAAAAGATCTTCTAAGTTGATTATTTCTTGGCTCAGACTACTGTATTTAAAACTATGAATATACATATCAAAATATTTAAAGCAATTTTCCTACAAGTGCTTTTTTGCTAGTTTTATTAAGATACATTTTCATTGATTCATGATTTATTCATTTGATAAAAATCTCTTAAGTGCCCATTTTGTGCAGGCATGATGCTTGTTGCTGGTCTTAAATGGTGAACAAAATGGACAAGCTGTGCCCTCACAGAACATAGATCTCAGTGAGGAAAACAATAAAGCACTAAAAAGAAATTAAATGTTAAATGGTAACCATGTCAACAGTCATTTGATGAAATTACTGAGTAGGGGAAGAGTATTGAATCCCTCCCTTCCAACGCATACACAAATGAAAAAGCATTGGGTGACTCACAGATAACATGTGAAGTGCAAGCACAGTGTGCTTCACTTATTAAAATGTAGCAGTATCCACAATTTTAGCTAAAGGGGCCCTTCAAATCTAACATCTGATTATTTTGGCCATATATTATAAGACAAATTAAAGAACTAACTATTGAATCCTAGTTTGGACATGAAAGCCTTTGTCCATGGCCTATGAAGGAGGCTCTAAAAAGTTCAATCTGCATTGCAAGTACTTATTTTATTTTTAGGCACTAATAGATTATGGAATTGTGCTGCTTCTTCATGCTGGAGAAACTATAACATTAAACACCTTCATCAATCGTGGACTCATCTACTCAGAACTAGAACAGTATGGTTTTGCATTAGAGGTAAGCATTCCTGTTGATGTGTGAGAATGAACCCACTTGATTTTGCACATTCACTCCTGAAAACTAGTGAACAAGTTCTTACTGCTATGAACTGGCATATTAATGAGTGATAACTCAACTTTAGCAAGAATTGTATTGAAATATTTGGGATGACCAGTAGAATCTTTGCAAAAAGT